AGGTGAGTAACAGTTTCTTCCCCCTGTGCTGTCAACCTTGTCATCACCAGATGAGGCAGTGGCAGTCACCTCTATGTCTACTCCTTTCATGGACTCTTAAGGCCCACTAAGATCTGCTTCAGTGTATGGCCTAGAGTGTCAACCTCTTAGCTGAGAAGTTGGTGGAAGAATGTGACCCGATAATGGATATTCTTTTGCCTGAGGGTCTGGTAATGGTGGAACTACCTCTCATTAAATCCATCCAGACCACTGCCAAGGTGCTCTGGCAGACAGTGCTATTTTGTGCCCTGGGGCAATGAACACCTCTACACCCACCTCAGTGATTAATGTGGTGACCCACTGGGAACACCAAGGACAGACTTTACCTGCCCCTAAAAATAAGGAGGCCAAGATGCTGAACCTTTTTGGGTGCAAAGTTTATTTGACCGGGGTTTCCAGCCGTGAGTCTCAAACCAGCACACGCTCTTCAGCCATTATGCCTTCAACTTTTGGAACACACCGTGTAAGTTCCAGGAGCTCCTTTCTTTGGATGCCAGGCAGGAGTTTTTGGCAATTCTACAAGAAAGCTTCACGGTTAGCAAAATAGCCACTGCAGGTGGCTCTGGACCTGGATGACTTGGCCACTCAGATTATACCACAGCTGTTGTTGTGCTGGTAGTTCCTGGCTACAGGTGTCTAGTGTCCTGGTGGAGGTGCAGCACATGATACAAGATGTCCCTTTTGATGGTGGGGGCATATTCACCAAAAAGACTGATTTGCGCTTACACAGTCTCAAGGATTTCAGAGTTATGTTGAAGTCCTGTTTAGACTGGCAGCCACCCTCATGTTTCTACTCTGGCCCACCTAGGTAGGATCATGGACATCATAGGGGCAGATGCAACAATAGAAGGGGCCCCTCCTGAATCCTCATTTGTCCAGGGAAAGGGCTCATCTAAGCAGCCACCGGGATCAAAGCCTCGCTTTTGAGGTGTGCTCGGGGACGGAGCACCAGTTACTATCCTGGATCCCTTCCCGCTCTTTGTGAGCCATCTCTCCCACTTCTACTGAGCCTGGTCCCAAATTACGTCAGACTTCTGGGTCTTGAGTATAGAGGGAGTGAGATATTTTATCCAATTCTGTACTCTCCCTTCCTTCCAACCCTCTTCCTCATCCCTCTTCAGGGATCCTTCTCACTAGCAACTCCTTATCTAGGCAGTGCAATCACTCCTCATTCTGGAACTATTGAGGAGGCTTTTCAGGAGTTATGGGGGAGGGATTTACTCCCGGTACTTCCTTATTCCCAACACCAAGGAGGGTCTGCACCCCATTGTAGGCCTCTGGAACTTGAAAGCATTATAAGGAAGCTTGGGTTCCACATGGTCTCCCTGACATCCATAGATCTGGCGTACTGGTTCGCTGCCCTCAACCTCAAAGACACATACTTTCACATTTCCATCATTCCAGAGCTCAGATGTTTCCTCTGCTTTGAAGGGAACCATGGCCACCATTATCAGCACATTGCTTTTCTTTGCCCTATCCATGGTACCTTAAGACTTTACAAAATATACGGCAGTACTGGCCACATTCTAGTGCAAGAACTGGTTGCAGGTCTGCAAGAACTGGTTGCAGGTCGTTCCCTACCTAGACGACTGGCTCAATGAGGGCAAGTCCAGGGAGCAGGTGCTCCGGCATGTGGAGCTGGTCAAGGCTACATTTTCCTGACTGGGTCTTATCCTGAATGTGCCTGAGTTCTCTCACTCCCATTCAAAGAATCTAGTTCACTGGGGGCCCTTCTTGATTCTACTCATGAGACAGCCTCCCTACCTGAGGCATACTTTCAGGTCATGGTGAGCATCATCACTGAGCTTTGTCAAAGCCCAACCACTACAGTGCACAATTGCAGGAGGCTCCTAAGAGATGTCCTCTTGCACCCAGGTCCTCTGTTATGCTCGGCTCTGCCTCTGCCCACTGTTAGTGTGGCTGGCATCAGTATGCAAGCCCTCCCAGGACTCCCTGGATTGGCTAGTCACTCTGAATCTGGCAACCCTGGACTCCCATGATTGGTGGGTCCAGCCTCAGGTAGTATGTGTAGGGTCCCTTTTACCAGGTCACAACTGGTGATAACTCTGGTTACAGACACCCTGGACATGGGTTAGAGAGCACACCTGAACAACCTTTGGACCAAAGGCGTGTGATCACTTATAGAACTATAGATGCACATTAGTGTCAGGGAACTCAGGGCAGTTCGCTTTGCTTGCCAGGTATTTCTCCCACCCCTCCCTTGGGACAAGTGTGTCCTGGTCCTTGATGAGCTAGTCTAGGTAGGGGAAGATTTGCAACCAGTTCCTGCACAGGAATTCAGCCACCACAGCAATGTTCTATATCAATTGATGGGGTGATGCTTGCTACTCTCCCCTATGCCAGCTTATGGGACTTCTGCATTCAACACAAAATACAACTTAAGTCTCGTTCCTTTCTGATACTCAGAACAGCCTCATGGATCACCTCAGCTGGTCATTCCATTTTCATGAGAGGTCTCTCAAGGACGTGGCCCTCACCATCTTTCTCAGCTGGGGTCGTCCCCAGGTGGACCTGTTTGCGATCCACTACAGAAAGTGCATTTTGCTCTGCTTATTCCAGTGCCACAGCCAGGGGTGGTGGACACTTTCCATCTCTCGCGAATGGGCCAGCTGTTATATGCATGTCCCCCATTCCCACTTATACACAGAGTCCTCCTCAAGATTCTCCAAGACAAAGCAGCGGCTATACTCATAGTGCCCACATGGCCTGGGCAGCACTAGTTCACCACACTGCTGTCACTGTTTGTAGACAGATTGATGTCACCTACCCTGCCCTGAGACCTCGTAATGCAGGACCACGGGCAACTGTAGTACCTGAACCTAAAAATTGCTCCACCTTACAGCGTGGAAGCTCCATGGTTAAATCATCTAAAGCTGCAGCGTTCAGATTCAGTCAAGGAGGTTTTACTGGGCAGCTGTAAGCCCTCTACTAGGGCTACTTACCTTGCAGAAGGGAAATGGTTTTTCCTTTGGTTCCTCCATAAGAGTGTGCCCCTACATCAGGCCATTCTGCCCCTCCTACTGGACTATCAGGTGAAGAAGAAACACTAGGGTCTAGCTGTGTCATCCATTAAGGTCCACCTGGCTGCAATTTAAGCTTTCAATCCAGGCACAGTGACAAAGTTTCTCTTTGGAGATTTGTGAAGGGACTCACTTTCTCATGGGTGCCCCTTTGTGGCTGAGGATGTGTCTGCCACTTATCCGTCCCGGCTGTCTTCAGGGTTAGAGGTGTCCCTGATGGCTTTCTGGTCTGTTGGTTGGGGACCAGACATCTTCTTATGCCCTTTCTGCTTGTGAAGGAGGTTGAGGGGGGATCAAGGCCCACCCACTCCTCTGGGTCCCGGCTCAGGGACCCTGTACATAGCAGTTGCCTGCTAAGTATCTCCTCTGTTTGCTCCTAACTTGCTTCCTGGGCCACTTCCCCAAGACACTGCTCCATCCAGCCTTGTTTCTCAGGGCTTTGAGGCTCAGCTCTCAATGCACCCTTGCCAGGGTTCTGTAGAGTTTTGTAGTGGCTGGTTTTCTGCTGCTGGACCTGGGTCTCAATTAGGTCTGAAGTTCAGCCCGCACTCAGAGCTGTCCGAGGTGCTGCTGTTCTCCCAGTCAGCCCCTAAATCTGGCTGGGTCGAGCGCCAGTGAGGAACTGCCAGGGCCCTAGTCCTGCAGCTTCTTTTATATTGCCTTGCTGAGCCCTAATTGGCTGCTGCAGAAGCAGCCACTCAAGTCTGCCTGGAGGACTTCTTTCTGCTCTTCTCCCTGGGTTGGTGCACAGTAAGTCCTCCAGCCTGGCTTCAGACCTAGTCCATCCTGTCACAGGATCCTATAGCAGGTCATTCCTCAGGGGATTGGATAAGCTTTACCAACAGGTGAGGCATCCAATACTACTATGGGACTTGAAATTGTCTGTTGTTTACTAGCTTTCTGTCCTACATCTCATATAAAATGGCCTTCCTGGTAGCAATTACCTCTGCCAGGCAGGTATCGGAATTGTGGGCCCTTATCTCTGAACCCCCATATACTGATAAAGTGCAGCTGTAACTTTTCCCCACCTTCCTGCCAAAGACTGTGTCATCATGCCATGTCAATCAGGACATTTTTCTCCCTGTCTTCTTCCCAAAGCCCCATGGCACTGCCAGGGACAGAGTGCTGCACTCTTTCTATGCAAAGTGTGCCTTTGTCTTTTGTATCAAGCATACCACGTCATACCACAAATTGCCACAGCTCTTTGTCGCTATCATGGACCACATGAAAGGACTCCCAGTTATATCCCAGCAGCTTTTGTCCTGGATCACTTCATATATTAAACTTTGTTACAACCTAGCCAAGGTGTTGGCTCCATCTCTGACAGTGCCCTCTATCAGGGTACATGCTTCTTTTGTGGCATTTCTAGTACAGGTCCTTATTCAGGACCTTTTCAGGGTGGTGATGTGGTCCTCTGTGCACACCTTTGCATTACACCATCACCCAGCAGGCATGTGATGATACTGCATTCGTGAGGGCAGTACTGCAATCAGCAACACATTGAGGTCCAACCCTTCCATACAAACTGCGGGTAAGTTACATATTGGAATGCACATGAGCAATCCCTCCAAGAAGAAAAAAATGGTTATGTACCTTTCGTAACTCTTGTTCTTCAAGATGTGTTGCTCATGTCCATTCCAGACTCTCCTCCCTTCCCCTTTCTGACTATTCCAGCAAGAAGGAACTGAGCAGGGATTGGGTTGGCAAGAGTCTTTATATACTGCAATGGAGGTACCACTTCAGGGGGCTCCATAGCTGTTAAGGAAAATCTTCCAACGGCCATGCACGCAGCTTGCATGCTCACATATTGGAATGGACATGAGGAATGCATCTCAAAGAGCAACAGTTATGAAAGGTAGATAACTTTTTTATAATTTTAGGGTTAAAAAGTACTTGTTGCTTTGTCTCTCTTTTATGTAGATTACAAAAGTGTGCAAATTCAACTAAAGATACCAAATTGAGAGGTAAGTTCAATGCTAATTTTTGGCAACATGAATTAATAATTAATGAATGGTGATAAAGGCAATAAATATAATATTTTTTCAGATCTTCTAATGTATGGTGTGGCTTATCATCATGCTGGCATGGAGATATCTGATAGAAAAATAATTGAAGGAGCTTTTACCATGGGAATCTTACCAGTACTTTGTAAGTTACATTTAAACTTTTGAAAGTCAAAACATTGTTACTATATTTTCTCTCTAAAAATATATTGAGATTTGTATTTGGAAAAAGTAAACATGATTCTTTCACTTGTCATGAACAGTGTTCCCTGTAAGCTGAGTGCTTGGGCGGCTACACAGGCGAGATTCAAATGCAGCCCTGGCTGATTAGCAGAATGCCTGCAGCCAGTAACATGTATTTCTACTGGTGGTGCACATCTGCCAATGCATCACTGCACATCATAAAATTTAGTCTGCAGAAGGATGAAAAAATTAGAGGGAACGTTGGTTATGCAATCCAGGATGATAGCTAGTATGGTTCTGCAGCCTGCATATGAGTAGGTCAATTTGCTTCAAAAAGTATGTAGAACATTTTAAGTAAACTCCAGAATTAATGATGATAATACTCATATGAGGCTGCATGTGTGGATCTGTAATTTAGAGTTTGAGCCTGCTTTCTTCTTGCATTCATAATTCTCATTAGCTACAGTTTTTCTTTTCTCTTCAAAATAAATTCTGATCAGAAATTACTTTTTCATTGAGAAAGAATAATACCAATTGAAAATGGAACACCAACTCTTTAGTTTTAAGGATGTTATCCTATTCTTAGAGAAAATTAATTAAATGTGAAAAATGTTATCTAAATATGATTAACTTCTTTAGATAAATGAATACACTTCTTGTGAGTTTCTAATATGTCTTTTGTGTTTGCTGCTGTTTTAGCTATCTGTTGTGTGGCCAGACCTAGTAGTCAGAACCTAAAGTCTACAGTTACAATGCAGGAATCATGAATCAGTTGATATCGGGAGTTCAGAATCAGGAGACAAACTAGAAATCGTTACCACATATCATAGAATCATAGAACACTAGAACTGGAAGGGACCTCGAGTCATCGAGTCTAATCCCCTGCCCTCATGGCAGGATCCAGTACCATCTAGACGATCCCTGATAGATGTCTATCTAACCTGCTCTTAAATATCTCCAGAAATGGCGATTCTACAACCTCCCTAGGCAACTTATTTCAGTGTTTAACCACCCCGACAGAAAGTTTTTCCTAATTTTCAACCTAAACCTCCCTTGCTGCAGTTTAAGACCATTGCTTTTTCTTCGAGTGATGCCCCGGTTGATGCTTTACTGTAGGTTCTGGGCTTGCCCCAGAGCCGCAGGACAGAGATCTTCAAGAGCTGTTGTCGGCTGGACTGTGCATGCGCAGGGGCGTCTCGCAGCGTTTGTGCTCTCCTGCGCTGTGCGATCCAGTTCTAACCAGTTCCTCTAAACCACCTCAGGCTGCAGACAGAGCAACTTCTCTCTCCCTCATTCTCAACACTTTGTGAGACAAAACCAGTTAATTTCTTCAGTTATACTCGTTTCTCGTTATTACTCGCTTATCTATTGACGTTCCAGTTTAAAAAAAAAACTTTAATAGTATATATCATTAAGTTTCCGTTCTTCCCTCTTTCTTTTGTTATAGCCCTTCGGTACTTGTATATAGTTCACCCTCCGTTCTTATATTAAAAAAAAAAAAAAGAAAGAAAGAAAGAAAAAAAGGGTGAGAGAGGAAAAATACCGGGTTACCCAAGATTTAAAAAATACTCCCTTTGCTGTGATACCATGCCTGCCTCAGATAGCTATGTGGCATGTATCCGCTGCCTCGGTGAGAGCCACGTACCACAAAAGTGTGTACACTGCTTGAAACTCACGGCTAGTGCTCGCTGTGAGAGGGAAATGAGGCTCTGGATGATCCTCTTCGATAAGGCTTTCCAGCCTGAGGGATCATCCTCCCCACCTGGAACCAGTCAACAATCTCAAAAGAAAAGGGCCTCCTTTCCGATTAGGGTGCCTTCAAAAAAGTCTAAGCCCTCCCCCTCTAGATCTCTGCCTTTAACTTCTCATGGCAGAACTAGCACAGGGTCTAAGCCAGGCACTTTGGGTATGAGTGCCCGTATAACTTCAAGTGCAACCAAAAAGGTTGATCCTCCTGGGACTTTGCACCACTTGGCCACAACTTCATCAGCGGCGGCACTGACGGTATCCACACCGAAGCCATCGGCACCGCCTGTGGCAATGAAGTCACGTGCACAGTCAACACCAGCACCGGAGGGATCACTGTCTTGTCAAACGGACCTCGATGTGCGGCTGAGAGGCACCGACCTCGATGTGGGGCCAAGAGGCACAGACCTCAGCACGGGGGCAAGAAGCACCAACTTTGCCTCATGAGCAAGTGGCACTGGACTCGGGGCCAGAGTGCACGGAGACAATTTCAGCACCACAGCATGAGGTGATCATGCCTGGGGATGTCTCCCCACTAGGTCACCTAAGGCAGTTCCAGGACCTTTTTAAGAAAGTGGTAATTTCTCAGGAAATACAACTAATGGAGATTAAGGGGAAGCAACATTGCCTCCTTAAAATCCTACAAACAGAACGCCAAGTTGGCTATACCCTCGGACGAAGCCATCTTGGAAATGGCCAATGAGCTATGGCAAACCCCAGCATCTGCCCTTCCAACTAATAAACGGGCTGATAAAAAGTATGGTACTTTGTGCCTCCAAAAAGGGTCTGAGTTCTTATTTACCCACCCTCAGCCCAACTCCCTTGTACACGGTGCATCAAAGAGCAAAGGCGCCACAATATAAAAGCAACGCAGCAGACAGGGAGGTGAAGAGGCTCGATTTATTTGGGAGGAAGGTATACACATCCTCAATCTTATTTCTCAGAATAGCCAACTACCTCGTGCATTTATCTAATCACAACATTGATAATTATGCCAAGTTGATGGCCCTGATGGAGGCGCTTCCAGAATCCAAGAGACCAGTGCTTAAATCTGTCGTTCAGGAGGGCTATGCATGTACATGGGCCAGCTTGCAAATTGCCATGGACGTGGCAGACATGGCAGCTCGCACCACAGCTATGTCCACGGGGGCCTCCTTTTTCAATCCACAGGAGTCTCCAGAGAGCTGCAAACAAAAGTGAAAGATTTACCGTTTGACAAGCACAAAGTATTCGGCGAGAACACAGATACGGTCCTCCATTCTAGTAAAGATTCTAGAACAACCCTTTGATTGTTGGGAATGTACACCTCATAATATAGAAGGAGATGTTACACACCATTTCAAAGGCGCTCTGATTATTTCCATAATAGGCATCAATGGCAACACCAACGCCATCCCTTTGACCAGCCAACATAACAGACCAATGAGATGCCGAAACTTTAATAACTGCATGCAGACCCAGCCCAGCAACAAACAGCAGGTTTGATGAGTTGGTCGAGAGCAAGCAGACAGCCCCTTCAGACCCAACTCACATCTTTCACCATCATCTAAGGCCCTTTTACCATCAATGGGCCAACATTACCACCGATAAGTGGGTTTTGGAGATAATCCAATCTGGATACGCCATCCCATTCTATTCTCTTCCACCCACAATCCCACCATCCCCATACCTCTTCAGGGACCCCTCTCATGAAAGCTTACTATGTACCGAAATCGCTCACCTGCTTCACATAGGTGCGGTAGAAAGATTACCACATCAATTCCAAGAGAGGGGGTTCTGCTCCTTCTATTTCCTGGTACAAAAGAAAATCGGCAGATGGAAACCTATATTAGACCTATGGCAACTAAACAAATATCTCCGTAAACAACGCTTCAAGATGGTAACACTAGCCTCCATACTACCTGCCCTGGAGCAGGGTGATTGGTTTGCTGCTCTCGACCTCAAAGATGCCTTGTTACGATTCATCCCACTCACAGGAGGTTTTTACGCTTCACAATTGGTACAGATCACTTTCAGTATCGAGTTCTACCGTTCGGCCTTGCCACAGCACCCAGGGTGTTCACAAAGACACTTTCAGTAGTAGCTGCGCACCTTCGATGCAGAGGGGTGATGATATACACCTATCTAGACGATTGCCTTATAAAAGGATGTTTGTCTGCAGAAGTTTCCGAAATGGTGCGGATTATGGACGAAATGTTTCTTCTCCTAGGCCACCTCGTCAACAAGGACAAATCCATGCTTCAACCTACTCAAAATCTAGAGTTTATAGGAGCTCGCCTCGACTCAATTGCTGCAAGGGCATACATACCCATTGCCAGATTTAAGGCAATGCAAGAACTACTGGACAAGCTCCTCTACAAACGTTCAGTGCAGATCATCACAGTACTCAAATATATAGGGCACATGGCCTCCACGACATACATCGTCCCCCATGCCAGACTGCACTTTCGTTCGCTGCAACACTGGCTGATTACAATCTACAACCCTATGAAGCACAATGTACACAAGGCGGTGACTGTTCCTTCCACAGTCAGATCTTCTCTCCAGTGGTGGACCAAGGACGGCAGCTTACTGTCAGGGACCCCGTATCGTCAACCACCACCTAGCTGTCACATTACCACAGAGGCCTCCTTCATTGGTTGGTGTGCTCACATGGGCAAATTCTCCATCTAAGGCCATTGGTCGCCCCAGGAGTCTCTACTACACATAAATCTTCTGGAGCTGAGGGCAGTGGCCAATGCTTGCAGACATTTCCACACATACCTTCACAGCTCCAGTGTAGGCGTTCTCACAGACAACATAGCGACCATGTATTATATAAATCGTCAGGGCAGTGCACAATGCTGATCGCTGTGCACCGAGTCAACCTGACTATGGAACTGGCTCATTGCCAACGGCACAACCTTTGTGGCGTCTTATTTATCTTCACAAATGAGAGATTCACCGTGGAGTCCTCCACTCCATCTTTCGCCAATGGGGTACTCCTTGGATAGACCTATTCACCACCACCAACAACAAGAAATGTCACCATTATTGTGCCAGTGCAGGCCTCGGTCACGATTCCTTGGGGGACGCCTTTCCCCTCAATTGGAGCTGTCCCCTCATGTACACTTTTCCACCTATGTCACTTATTTCCAGAGTCCTGTAGAAAATCAAACTCGACAGAGCCACAGTAATATTAATAGTGCCCGGGTGGGCACAGCAACATTGGTATCCTCTCCTGTTCCGACTGGTGCTGTACCCACCATATCAGCTCCCGTTGATCCTGAATCTTCTAACCTAGAAACAGGGCTCTCTCCTGCACCCGCAACTGCACACCCTTCATCTCACAGCATGGTACCTAGTTGGCTAAACGTTCTGAAGTTCTGTGCTCTGACCAGCTCAAAGACATTCTAATCCACAGTAAGAGACAGAATACAAGATCTACTTACTTTTCCAAATGGCAGAGATTCACTTCCTGGTGTTCCGAACAGCACATGGATCCTCAAACAGTCCCAATCCACATCATTCTGGGCTATATGATGCACCTGAAACAAACTGGATTAGCCTTAGCGTCCCTAAGAGTTCATTTCGCGGCAATGAGAGCCTTTCAGCATCCAATAGATGGCATTTCTTTATTCGCCTACCCTCTCACAAAGAGGTTTCTCAAGGGTCTACTAAACCAAAACCCCCCATATGTACTCCCTTCCCATTGTGTAGCCTCAATTTAGTACTTGGAAATCTCATGGCACCACCCTTTGAGCCACTAGCTATGATTCCTTTCCAGACGTTGACGACGAAGTTGGTTATTTTTATCGCCATCACATCAGCGTGAAGAGCGAGTGAGATTTCAGCGCTTACGGCGGTACCTCCATATACAATTTTCAACAAGGACAGTGTGATCCTGAGACATTACCCAGCCTTTATTTCTAAGGTCTGCTCGGATTTTCACCTTAACAAGCCAGTATTGCTGCCTGCTTTTTACCCAAAACCGCATGCCTCATCACGTGAGGCAACTCTCCACACACTAGACGTGTATAGAGCCCTAGCCTTTTATATAGAGCGTACTAAGCCCTTTCGAAAAACTGACAGATTACTAGTCTCCCTTGCTGAGAGTGCTAAGGGAAAGCCTATATCGTCCCAGAGAATAGCTAACATTATTGTTTCCTGCATAACCCAGTGTTATGCTTTACAGAATGTGCCACTTCCACAATGCCCTAGAGCTCACTCTACGAGAGCGGTAGCAACTTCCACTGTCTTCTTAAGAGGTGTTCCCCTTTTCGATATCTGTAGGGCAGCCACTTGGGCCTCTTATCACAAATTTGCCAAGCACTACGCTATTCAGTGCACATGGCTTCTGGATTCTTCCGAAGCATCTGCAGTGCTTTCATCCATGAATAGATAGGGGCCTCTGAATCCCACCTTCCTTTCTACAGGTGGGTACTGCATCTCAGTCACCTACAGTGGAGCACCCACAGGAACATCACTCGAAGAAGAAAGTGAAGTTACTCACCTTGGTGCAGTAACTGTTGTTCTTTGAGTTGTGTGTCCCTGTGGGTTTTCCACTACCCACTCGCCTCCCCTATTCGGAGTCTGTTTTCTGTCTTGCAGATTCTGATGCCGGTTCGAGGAATAGGTTAGTACTGGATTGCGCAGCGCGGGAGGGCACAAATGCCACGAGACGCCCCCGCGCATGTGTGATCCAGCCAACTTCAGCTCTTGAAGTTCTCCATCCTGCGGCGCCGGGGCAAGCCCAGCACCTACAGTGGAGCACCCATGGGGACACACATTTCGAAGAACGACAGTTAGTGCACCAAGGTGAGTAACTTTGCTTTCTTGTCCTATCCTCAGAGGTCAAGGAGAACAGTTTTTCTCCCTCCTCCTTGTGACACCCTTTTAGATACCTGAAAACTTCTATCACGTCCTCTTTCAGTCTTCTCCTTTCCAAACTAAACAAGCCCAATTCTTTCAGTCTTCCTTCATAGGTCATATTCTCTAGACCTTTAATCATTCTTGTTGCTCTTCTCTGTACCTTCTCCAATTTCTCCATATCTTTCTTGAAATGTGGTGCCCAGAACTGGAAGCAGTACTCCAATTGAGGCCTAATCAGTGCAGAGTAGAACAGAAGAATGATTTCTTGTGTCTTGCTCACAACACTCCTATTGATGCATTCCAGAATCATGTTTGCTTTTTTTGCAACAGGGTCACACTGTTGATTCATATTTAGCTTATGGTCCCCTATGACTCCTAGATCCCTTTCAGCAGTACTCCTTCCTAGACAGTCACTTCCCATTTTGTATGTGTGGATTGTTCCTTCCTAAGTGGAGTGGATTTTTCATTTGTCCTTATTAAACTTCATCCTGTTTACCTCAGACCAGTTCTCCATATAGGGATCTAGAGTCAGATTGGGTCACGATACTAGATGTAAGGATCCGCAGACTAGAATGTGGGTCTGAGGATCCTGGGACAGTTGACATACTGGCTGACACGGTTGACACAGTGCTGGCTTGCAGAGCTGCATCCAAGGAGCATTGTGAAGAGTAGGCATCACAGGAGTAGTTCTCAAAGGACCCAGAATTAGACTATCCTGTTACCTTCTGATTGGGCAAGCATGCTATTTAATCCAGACAGGAGCCCCAGGAAGTTTTCTGGACAATCACATAGACTTCTGGCCTGCTGCAACTCCAGAGTTTACTTTCTCTTCTGATATCTGGTCTCCAACTCCAATCTGATCCTGACTCTTATTTATTGAACCCAGGTGTAATGATTCCTCTGATCCCTTTTCATTAACTTTCATCGTTGACACGTTGACCCCAGGCCAGCTGTGATTACTAGGCAAGACTACCTAAACCCTGGTCCCTTGCATCTAGGAGTCAGGAACAGAGATGAACTGGAGTTCAGGAATCACCAGTCGGGGCCAGGAGAACGCATGCTAGAATTCCAGGAGGTTAAGCCAGGGAAGGCTGAAGTAAATATTAAGGATTGGAAAGTATAGGACAAGGGAGTAGAGCCCCATTTTGTAGATGGCTTACTGTTCCTGCTGTTGGCTTAAGCAAGGCCTGTGGGCCAAACAGCCACTTGGGGACTCCACCAATAAGACCTTAGGGGCAGAATCTCACCACTGGCATTGGTCTTCATGGTTCTTAAGTAAGCTATTGCCAGAGGGCTACCATGTGGAGGGTTGGAGACTAGTTGCTCCTATGCAGAAGTGAATTAAGCTTTTGTGGGGCCTTGGACCCATGCAAGTGGAGTCTCTCCCCAAGTCTTCCACCAGCCTCACTTGTCCCCTATACTCCTGCCAGGAAATGGGATTGGGGCAAGAGTCCTGCCTAGAACTACTGATGGACAGCAGGGTTGGGGCATGGGATCTTCCCCTGCTCTCTGGCAGGCTCATTGGATGGAGTGAAATCACACCCTAATTCTGCTCCCCAGTGGGAGAGCTAAGCAGGCAGAGTGGGTCAGGATGTAGGGGCCCCCAACTGGCTAGGACTCCTGGGCACTGCCCCATTGTCTTAGTGGCTAATCCACCACTGCTCATACTTTATGGGCCTGGAGTTTGAGACCAGTGGGTTATGAAAAATGCATTATTATGAGAATGATTATTTTAGTACTGTAGATATACATATAATTTTGCAGGCAACTTAAAAAAAACCTAAACTATCTGTAAGTATACCAGTCACTACAAAATGGGATGAAGTCATAATTGCACTGAATAATTAGCAGTTACTTCAGTGTGAGTTTTGATGTATGAGGAATGAAAGATTAGACCTCAATTTACCTGTAAATGTTGACAGATATTTAATATGTTGTGTGTATTTAGTTTTTAAGGTAATATTTGACAATACTGAAGTCACGATCAGATACACTGATATGTATATGAACATGTATACAGATTATGGGCCCAATCCTATGAGCTGCTCAGTGCCCTTTTCTTCCATTGCCTTCATTAGAGTGTAGCATAGCGCCATCACAGGATTTGGCCATATATTTTGCTGCTTTATTTAAAATCTTGCTAGTATACAGAATGCTATTTATTATTAAATTAATGTGCTTTAATCTGATTAAGTTACTACGAGTACCTTAGCTATGGGAGTAAATTTACCTGCACACCTGGTAGTTATAAAATCTACAATGCACTATGTTGGAGGAATGTTTCAAGAGTACAGTGAAACAGATATTCTGCAAATGATTGGGAGAGCAGGAAGGCCTCAAGTAAGTTGACTGTGTATTTTATATTAATGCTTTTAAATCTGGATTAATAAAAGATACATAACACATTTGCCAAATAAATTAAAATGCCCACAATTTAAGGTATAACATTTGCTTTTTAAAAATTGGTTATTTGTAAATGGATTACTGAATTAAAATAATACCGAAGAATGGGAACTGGATGACACTGTAGATAGATCAGTGGAGATCTTCTTTAAATTATGTGCAGCTGTAGTGCAAAAATCAAACAAGATGTTAGATAGTATAAGGAATGGAACATTGAATAATGTGGCAGACTTTACAGTATCTTTTATATAAATCAGTTGTGCTGCTTCATCTGGAATAGTTTATACAGTAGTTATCCCACCTCAGAAGAGTGTGATGGCGCTCTTCCATATTATTTAAATAGAACTAAAAGTTTCTGAAAATGATCTAGATTACTTGTGTTTTATGCTAAAAATCAGATGGGTCATTTTGTGTCTCCCTAAACCACTGGTTTCCAAACTGTGGTTCTTTCTGTGTTTTCAAACACCATCTATAATTGGTTCCTTAAGGGCTTTGAGAGATTGTACCCCTATGTATGGCAATGAATCCCTCCCAGGGCCTTCAACCAATTATTGTCAAAAGTGATACGACCTCCATTTAAGACACTGATAATATGCTTTTTGCTGTACTTGTTCTGGAAGGTGACCTTCCTACATATGTGGTAGGTATCAGAGGCAAGGGAAGGCAATGTCTTCCCAGACTGGCCTCCACTCCAGCCCTTTCTGCCCAGGTCCCGCCGCCCCATTGGAGCCAAGTCTTCCCTCCTCCACCCAGAGCACCACGGGGGAAGTGGGGTGGCGTACCTCCACAGCATCCCCAGACTCTGAAGGAAGTGGGGGGTGGGCAGCGTGCAGCCCCAGCCTTACTGAACCTGGAGCATGGGGAGGACAGGCATCACACAGCCCCAACCTCCCCAGCCCTGGAGCATGGGGAGGATAGGCACTCGGGGGCAGCAACATTTCACCCTCAGTACACCTACTTTAGGCATTCTGGGGTGGAGCCTGGGTGGAGACATGCCTTCCCCCACCTGTTATACCCACTGCCTCAGCTTCAGAGCTATTTGGTTTTCAGCCCTGCCAAGGCTGAGATGGGAGGAAGGAGACCATGCTGCCAGCCCTCCTGGGACTGGGGAGGCTTGGACCAGGGAACAGCCTGTGCTCCAGGCTAGGACTCTGATCTCCTAATGCTCCAGGGAAGTCTGGGGTTGCATGCCACCCGCCTTAGCCCCTGTGCTCCCACCAGGACTGTATGCTGTCTGCTTTCCCTTCCTCCCACCCCCACCGGGATCAAGGAAGGCTGGGGCCATGTGCTGCCTGCCCTCCCTCTTCCCCTATTCCTCCACCAAAGCCAGGAAAGGCTGGAGCTGTGTGCCACCTGCCCTCCTTCTCCCATATGCTTCCTCTGAGGCTGCAGAACCCTGGGGCCATGCGCCACCTTGCCGTCCTTGTTTTCTGTGCTCCTGCTAGGGCCAAAGATAGCAGGAGCCATGCACGGCCTGCTTTTCCCACCCCCCCAAACCTTGTGCTTCTTAACTGGAAGGCTGATCCACTGGGGGAGTGGTGGCCTCATCCTACAGTATCGGAGGGTTGCTTGGCTCCCACAAGACTGTGGGAGTCAGGGGTAGGATCTTGGGCAGCAGGGCCAGGGCCTTGGCTCCAGTGCATGAATATTTGTACTCAGCACTGAGCACTCGTGCCTTGGCATACAGCACCCTGGTACTGCTGACACCACGGCACTGCTCACCGGCTTCTCAGAAGCCTAGACAGGCAAGGACAAGTCTCCCAAACCTAAGAAAGATAAGCCCAGAACACTGATGCCATTTGACTCTCCTGCTGTGGTTCAACAGACTCTTCAGACTTTATTAGAGCATGGATCCCCTGATCCCTCTCTGGCATGGTCTCAGAATCAGGTTGAACAGTTCCAGATGTTGTTGACACCCAAGGACTTGCAGATAGCCCAGAACATCTTGTCTGTGCTGTTGCTGCCTACTCTGGTAGTTGCGGGACCATGACACAAGGGAAGGCCACTCATGGCACAGCCCCGGTCGCCACAGCATCAACATTCCGCATCCAGCAGTGTGTCAAAGGCCTTATAAAAGGTGAAAGCCACAGAACCTGCAGTCCAGCTCAGTCCATGGTGGGGCTAGAACCACTGAAGGCAGCAGGTGGGGCTCCCTAGGACTTTGGCACAGATCTTCAGAGGTACATACCCTTGGTCTGAATGGTACACTCAGGACTGATATTTCCCAAGGTCAGAGTGCTGTTCAATAAACAGATCCCTGACACTGCACCATTCACAGCACCGGCACTGTTCCTCAGCTTGTGTGTCCCCGCAGTGTGTCCATGAGGAGGGCAGGAGTTGATGGTCACAGCACCATGCTTCAGCTGATTGATACTGGTTCCACAGCTGCTCCCAAGCCTGTCACCATCATTTATACCACAGATTCTGGAGTGGACGGTTTTTGCTGGAGGACTGTTCTTGGTATTCTTCCGACCTGGGCATTGGTGTTCATGACCAGCAAGCAGTGCATGTAATATATCAGGTTGTCCGATGGCATAGCTGAGAGGCTCAAATCAGGGTGAAAAGATAGTTATCAGTTTCTGTAACTGGTGTTCTTTGAGATGTGTTGCTCATGTTTATTCAACATAACTGTGTGCGCGCTTGCCGCATGCACTGGTGCTGGGAGATTTTCTCTCAGAAGTATCTGTAGAGGACCAGGTCCAGCTCTCCCTGAAGTGGCATGAATATGCAATACTATTTAGGATTCCTCCTAGGACCCTCCCTCCTCAGTTCCTTCTTGCTGGAGACTGTGACAGAGAGGAAAGAAGGTGCGGAGTTGAATGGACATGAGCAACACATCTCAAAGAACACCAGTCACAGAAACAGGTAACTGTCTTTTTTGTACACGATGTTAAATTCCCTCCCACTCCTTTGCTGGAGAGGAAAAAGAACACAGGGGTTGGCAGCCCACACAAAGTAAATTACAGTAGTGAAAAGAGCACTTCCTTTGCTCAGCTGTATGAAGAGCCTGTTGGTCGCCAGACCAGGGGCCTGAGATGGGGAAGTTCAACAGGACTGTATTCAAAGTAGGGATGTGTATGGTTAACCAGTAAGCATCACCCTTTTCTGGTGATAATTACTGGTTATGGTTAACTAGTGGGGGCTGCAGCAGCTTTCCCCCTGCCACTGGCAGGGTGCTGGTCCAGCCAGGCATGGTCCACAGTAGGTGGTGCTGTAGACCCTGTCCCTGGCAGGCCCGGCCTGGTGTGCTGAGAACCAGGGTGCTCCAGCCTGGCTAGAGCAGCCCCTGTCTGTGGTGGGCTTGGCCCCACATGCCACAAGCAGCGGCACTCCATCCCAGCTGCAGCAGGTGGGAAGTGTTGTAGACCAGCTTGGGCACCGGCTTCCTGACCCTGTTTAAGTAGTTAACCAGTTAAACATAATAGTTAATTATAGTTAATTATTATAATAGTTAACTGATTAAACTGGATTTTACATCCCTAATTCAAAGCAGCACCTTAGTTTGAATGCTTCCTCCAAAGCAGCTGGGGCTGCAAAGCCAGTCTGGATCCCCCTGCACAATTGTTGATGTCTTGGTATTCCTCAACAGGTTAAACAGAACATTTAAAAAAATACATTGTGAATTGTTACGAAAGATATGAGATGCCTATTTTAACTGTCCCCTGCTAAATCATAAAATACTTTTTTTTCAGTTTGACACTACAGCTACAGCAGTTATCATGACTAGGTTAAGTATGAGACAGAAATATGTGCAGATGTTAAATGGTGCAGATACAATAGAAAGCAGGTAATTAAGTAATTTTGCCACAGATATACTGATAGAACCTACAGAATGTTTTTTGCTTGTTCTTTTGGCTTATTCAGATGAAATTCATCCAATGGATTATAAAAGACAGGTTTAGGGGGAAATCATACAGAGAAACACCAGAGGTGAAAACATCATTGTGTCTATTCAGTGACTGGGAGAATATTAATCAACAAGAAAAGCAAATAATATTTAGTACAACAGTTGTAATCACAGAAGATTGCATGTAGCATTTTTTAAAGAATCAGTTTTAATTGAGAATAATTAGTTACAATATGCAGAACAAATATTTTAAAGTAAGACCTCTTGTACCTAACAGTAATACATAGATGGTAAAGAGGGGCATGGAGAGAGAAGGCAGAAACCTGCTCACAACTAGAGATGTGGAGTACTCAGTGCGAATTGTACTTTGCTCTATCTAAAGTTCAGAGTGCTAAATGCATTGAGTAGGTAAAGTCAGACTTGCATTTCTGATTATGAAAGATTGGGAGGAGAGGGCACTTGATGGATGCTGAATCTGAGAATGATGCAGGGAATACAACTTCATGGTTCTGGTGTAGTGATGGGAAGGTGAATACAGTGTCTGAGTCCTGAAGTTTAGTAGTGTGACTCATCACTAAAGGTGAGATTGGGGCGATCAGATGCCACGTGAGTGATAGATACTCTTGCTAATAAAGTGGTTTGCATCTGGGGTCATGGTGTGGGATTGTGACCAAAAAGACTCAACTGTTACTCATTTATTTATTTAACAGGTCTTACAATTCATAAAAATAAATTCTGTAATGTGGGCATCTATCCTGTAAATTAAAAACACCATATATATCTACCAAGCACCCCAGTCCCGAACACACTCCTTTTTTAATAGTTCAAGAAAAAAAGATGAATTTTGCAGTGTTCCCATGCATGATGGAAATACCTGCCTTGCACGGGGATGGAAGGGATTAATCCATGCTAATGGGCGAAGAAGCTATGTCCTGTCAGCCATGCTGCGCATGTTCCAACTGAATGAAACCACAGTTTAACAGGGAGCAGCTCAGCTCTGTCTGGGCTGACTGAGGAGGAGAGCAGATGTGTGCTTCAGGCTTCTGCCAAGAAGCTTCTGGAGCCCCAGGCTGCAGAGACTGACTGTGCTGAAGCCATTACAAACACCCAGTTGATTGCCAAGAATGGTAGAGGAGAATTTGCTGGTGCTGGGAGACTATTAATGCTGGAAGTGAGAGCAAGATGCGACCCAGAGAATGGAATGGCTGCCGAGAGACCAAGCCTAAACACATAATTGGCTCCTCAGGTCCTGGGTCAGGATTAGGGATGTGAAAGTGTAAATGTATGACCTTGGGCTCATCGGTTAATGTTCAGAGTTACACGTAGGCTCCTGGTAAACATGGGGAGCTGGCTTAAAAGCTGGCTTTCAGGGCATACCAGTTCCTGGGGAGCCACCTGCTGCCGCCTCTGTATTAAAGGCAGCAATGCAGGGTTGCACAGAGGCAGCAGCGCAGGGCAGCAGGTGGGAGCCAGTATGTGCGGGGAGCTGGCTTAAAATGCAGCTTCTCACATGCACGGGTTCCCAGGGAACTGACTGCTGCCTCACATGTAACCATGTAACCACTGAAATTTTCAACAAGTACACAGTTACTTAATTACACGCATTTTAACAATCCCAGTCAGAACCCAGTAATGTAGGTTGGGTCTGGGTCCCTCTATCATACCACATGCACGACTGGGTGCAGTCACCACCTAAGGGAGAATCCAAGGCTCACTGCTTAGACTCTGGCCACTGGGTCATGCTGCCTCAAATCCAGGGGCATCTACTTAGACTCTGGCCAGGAGGCCTTGCTGTCCTAAGTGGCCAGAGAGAGAGAGAATTGGGGAGCATAGCGAGCAGGGGTTTTTCGCAGCTAGGGAGGAAGGGTTGGCGAGTATAGTGAGCTGGGGTGTAGCCCCTTCTGCCCCCAGTTTCCCAAAATATCAAGAACATAAAGCAACACATAAATGTATAGTTTCGTTTTCTGGATGCCAGTGATATACAACAGACAAAATAAAAAAATCTCAGTTTCTTTTGCTAGATAGAGATCATTCCAACAAATAACTTGAATTCTTAATCATTTACATGGTTTTTACCTTTTTATATTGATTACCATAAAAAGCAGAAGCAATAAGTGGACTAGTCACAGTAAAATATAATTCATTATTGCTTGTAAACATTTTAGGTATTTTTATATTATTGATTTATGCTTATTTTAATTACATTATGTATATAATTGGTTTACTTTTTGTTCCTTAATAGTTTGCACAAACATCTTGTTGAGCATTTAAATGCAGAAATAGTGTTGCACACCATCACGGATGTGACAATAGCTTTGGAATGGATACGATCAACTTTCCTGTACATCAGAGTTTTGAAAAATCCAGTTCATTATGGTTTGTTGCTTTTAAATTGACTAGAATATAATACTGGATTATATTTCATGTCTAACATAAAGTAGGTTACAGTAAACTATAGGATGAACCTCTGTGATTTAGGACTTTCTAGTATGGAGGCGCAGAGCTCTGCCAAGCAAAATGAGGCCAAGCTGGCTACAGCAAGGCCAGTAGCAGGGAATCCTGCCAACCAGTGACACAGAGCCCTGCCTGTCAGAGAGAAGCTCTGCTAGCCAGGGACGCGAAGCCCCGCAAGCCAAGAACATGGAACCCTCTGGCTAAGGATGCATACCCCTCTGGCAGCCTGGAGAGGAGCCCCATTAGTGGGTTGGGGGTAGTAGAGCAGTGCATTTGCTGGGCTGTGGCCAAGAGAGGCACCCCAGGAGAGCCAGAGTCCTAACCTCCCCTGATCTGGCAAACTCTTGTTTGGGAATGCTCAGGTCCCAAGGGTGCCAAACCAGGGAAGTCCATCTTGTACCTGCATTTTTGGCAAGTAATTTTTTTTTGTTAGTGACTAATGAAAAAAAAAAGAGTTACTTGTTTTGTCTTTGCCTTTTATGGACTGTTATTTCAATAGGGATGAAGACACTGAAATTGTTAAAGGTGACCTGGAACATATTTAGGAAAAATATTTCAACCATGTTACCATAATTAGCAGGCATTTCAACATATTTAAACTTGTACTACTTTTTCATTAACAGATTTGCAAAATTTCAGCCTATGATTACCGACTTCCCACTGTGTTGAGGCCTCATAGCTCATACAAAGCTGGTGGCATATTACCATTACTTTTCAGCTTTGAGTATTGAGTGTGCCTCTAAGGAAAAGGTAAATCAACTTTTATTTAATATTGAGTGGATTTTCTTTTTAGTATCCTTTTTATAGAAGATAAAATGAGGATATTAAAATTCAGAAAACTGCTTCATATTGAATAAAACCAGATCTATCTTTCCTCCCCCAAAGGCAGATGTTCTGCTTCAGCACTCATCATATGGATTGCTTATCCAACCAACATAAGGCATTCTATGGTGCTCAGCAGAGAGGGATGTCTGTGATTGTGGAGCAGTAGCTTTATGGCATTGCAAAAGAAAATAAGTAATAGTTAAATTTAAATATTTGTGATTGACATTCTCTGTGATAAGTGGCCATTCATCAGCGGTTAGTAAGGTCACTCAGATTTCAATCTTTTGTTTCCTGGCTTGGTAGGAAATGGAAACATCATATAAGATATGCTTTTATCTTCTTGGGAGAAGGAGATGAGGAAAGCTGCATATTGTTGGTGGCCTACTAGCTAGGAATTTTTTCTAGGGAGCTGTGTATAGAGGACTCCTGGCTCTTGTTTATTCATAGAGGCTGGTGCTCTGTGGGTTACTAACAAAAAGTACTATGTTCCAGTGAAAGAAGCTGAATTTCTGTTCTTGCACTCTACCTCAGATTCCCTGGTGGTCAGTGTCGTGTAAGAGAGAAGCCATCAATTCCAGTCCCTTGCTAGCCATCCACATAGGGATTGCAAATACCCAGACTTATTCGGACACAATGCATATTCATGAACCATGCTCCAGTTTTGAATCTCAAGTTATAAAGCTCTGGTGGCTAACTACTTAAACTATTCCAAATTGGAGAAATTCTGTCAACCTCTCAAAGGCCAAAAAAGAGCAATTCCAATCCCTAATATTAGAAGGGCCTTTTAGCTTGTACAGTCCTATGAGCCTTGTTGCCCAATCCAGAGGTACAAACCATTGTAGAAGACTTTTGATGGCCAAAACCTATTATCTGGGCATACAGATGATTCCCTGCACTCCTGTAAAGACTCCTGAGGTACACTCTGATCCCTCAGAATTTATATGCCTGTGCTGAAGGCATATATCCAGGAAAATTGCCATCTGCCCCGTCATTATTGATCACTACAATATACTCCTCAATGGCACTAGGATACCCAGGGCTGAAAACAAAGCTCTCCAAGTGTAAACATCCTACACCTCTGGGCACTTCCTCTCATATACCTCCACCAAAGAAACAATTTTGAAAGCCCAAGAAGCCTTCATCTCTTCCAGTCGGTCTTTGAGGTCCCATTGGTTTGGTGAGTTCCTATCTGTTTCTTTCCCCTCATGGGGTGTGTCTACACTGCCACCCTAGTTCGAACTAGGGTGGCAGTGTAGACACACCCCATGAGGGGAAAGAAACAGATAAAGTTGCAAATGAAGCCCGGGATTTAAATATCCCGGGCTTCATTTACATCTTCTGGGCGCCGCCATTTTTAAATTCCCATTAGTGCGGACTCCATGCCCGTGGCTACATGCGGCACGGAGTAGGTCGTTCAAATTAGGCTCTCTAATTCGAACTACCGGTACACCTTGTTCCACGAGGAGTAACGGTAGTTTGAATTAGAGAGCCTAATTCAAACTACCTACTCTGTGCTGCGTGTAGCCACGGGCACGGAGTCCGCATTAACAGGGATTTAAAAATGGCGGTGCCCGGAAAGATGCAAATGAAGCCTGGGATATTTAAATCCCGGGCTTCATTTGCAACTTTGAATGCCTACATTAGTCACCCTCGTTCGAACTAGGGTGGCAGTGTAGACATACCCATGGAGACTAATCACCTCAGACAAGTGGATTCTAGAAATAATCAAGGGGATAAACCATTCCCTTCCTATTCCACCCTGCCATTTCCACACCATTCCTTTTCAGAGATCTCGCTCTCAAACCCATTCTAGGGAGAGAAATAATGTTCTGCAACTGGGAGTCATGGGGTACGTCTACACAACAGTGTTATTTTGGAATAACTGATGTTACTCTGAGATAACATGGTCCATGTCTACAGTATAAGCAGTTATTTCAATATAATGTTGAAATAATGATGAACTGGAGGACTTCTTACTCCGACTCCTGTAACCCTCATTTTACGAGGAGTAAGGAAAGTCAGAGGAAGAGTTCCCTACCTTGGATTTCCTGATGTGTAGACAGCGCCAAAAGCCGAAATAAGCTATTTCAATTTAAACTACACAATTGGCATAGCTGAAGTTGCATAGCCTATTTAGGCTTTAGTCGTGTTGTGTAGATGTTCCCATCGAACCAGTCCCTTTCCTACACAGGGGACAGGATTTCTACTCTTGTTTTTATTTCATCCAGAAGAAATTCAGAGTCTGGTGACGCATCCTGGATCTTTGTGATCTAAACAAGTTCATCTAACTGCAAGACTTGAAGATGGTTACCTTCTTCTCTATTTTCCCAGCTCTGGAACGGGGAGTGGTTCTCTGCCCTTGACTTCCAAGACATGCACTTTCATATTGCGATGCACTTTCATATTGCGATGCACTGTGATGATAGATGATATTTCCAATTTGTCACAGGCAACAATCACTACCAGGTAGTGCCTTTTAGGCTGTTGGTGGTGTTAGAGTGTTCTCCATGGTCCTGGCAGTAGCTGCTGCCTGCCTAAGGAAACAAGGCATCATCTTCTCATGCTTGAACAACTATCTCCTCAAGATTCCATCTGAGACCAACACACTCTGAGCCATCCACAAAATGGACAGGTTTATGAAACTAGGCTTCCTCATGAACCTAGAAACGTCTACTTTAATACCATTACCACACCAGGAATTCATTGATGCATAATTGGATACCATGCATGCTAGAGCTTTCCTATCACTTCACAGGTTCTTGAGCTTACTAGATCTGATATCCAATGTGTGAGTCTGCTCCAAGACTGAGAGATCTGCCAGAATGTCCCTCCAATTTCTAGGCCACAGGACAGCAGTCACTTTCATGGTCAGACACACAAAAAGACTGCATATGTGATGTCTGCAGGCATGGCTACTCAACAAACAGCAGCCACAACGTGCTGATAAGAGTCAAGACCTTATTTGCTGGATGCAGCCTAGCAATGTCTGTGTTGGAGTTCCTTTCCTCTTATCATTACTGACGATGATCCTAACAATAGATGTCTCCCTAATTAATTGGTGAGTGTATCTCCATGATCACACAGTGCAGGACAGATGGTCATTAACCAAATCCACTCATAGTTCTAGAAGATTGATATGTAGAGTAGTTTGTGATGCCTACTGACGTTTCTTCTCTCTCCTTGAACGCCTACTTTAATGTTCCCAGTCTTTATGCTTAGAGGCAACTCAAATTGTGGAACTGGTGTACTCAGCACAAAATCACCATTTTAGCAGCATACCTCCCTGGATATCATAACACCATTATGGACACATTAAGATGGAAATTCTCTCATGATCATGAGTGGGAACTGAATCTGCAAGCCCTTCAGCCTATCTACAATTGTTGGGGATGTCCTGCCATAGATCTTTTTGCTACACTACAAAATTTCTATTGCCTTCACTTCTGTTCCTCAGTGGGACTAGGACACAGATTGCTGGGAGATGTATTCTATATCTTATGGGATTCACCACTCCTCTGTGCCTTCCTTCCATTTCTCCTCCTATTCCATATATTTCACAAAATATAGGAGGACTGAGATCACATCATTCTTATAGTTCCAATTTGTCCATGAAAGGTTTGGCATATTTATCTCCTTCACATGATAGAATCCCAGCTGATTTCTTTTTATCCAATGCCACAGATCCTTTCACAGGACACAAGGTGCATCCTCCAGCTATGTGAATGAAACCAGGCAATCACTGTGCTCTCAAATAAACTCTCACAGAAAAATGATAAAAAGTCAAAAAACACTCTGACATGAACAAACACTTTTCACAAAGTGGTCATTCTATATCTGGTCCCTTGGCCTTATCATCAAGGGAAACTTGAACAACACCTTCAAAAGATGAGTCTGAAAACTGTAATTCTTCATAACACTAAAAATAATGCACTTAACAAAGGTACTGGTTTTATGGCTCATTACAGTTTAATACACTTTGCTGCCTATTAGCTCTCCTTTGTCCTGAGAGTTGTGAGATGTTCAGTGCCATCGTCTCCTACAACATTAACAATCTGTATTTAGCTGTGTCACTCTGGTTACTGTGTCCAGAGTATGGAAGATATCTGTCAATCTCAAAAGCTTGTCCCTTCTACCAGCAGAAGTTGGTCCAATAAAAAATATTGTCTTATCCACTTTGTGAGATATATATCTGGGAGTGGCACAGTTACAACAACACTGCAGACTTAAAATGCATGCTATTTCATATCTGTGCAGAAGTTTGGTCCAATAAAAGATATTACCTCACTCACTTTATACTTCCGTTTTAAATGTCAATATATGTGAAATATACAACCATTGTGCTTAAATTAACATTTGTTAGTAAGTAAATAGTTTTGGTAGACAGTAATGTTGAAAATTAAAATGTATGAATATATTAATTAAATGTATGAATATATTAATTTAAAAGGCCATTTTGCCTTTTCCTGCAGGTTTTTCACCTGGATTAGACAGAGTTGGAATTGAAGCAAAATTACAAGGTTAGTGTCTTTTCACCTTTTTGAATACAACATATTTTGGGCCACATTCTTCCATCATATCAAAGTATTTATTCATTTCAGTGGTGCTACCAATATAGCAAGATACTATTCAATATGATTAAGGTTGGCTGAATCTAGCCTTTTGTGAATTGCTAAAGCAACACTGTTACTTTAATTTAACTTGCATACTATTCTACTTAAAAATACTGGATTTTTCAGATATGGTTCTTTTACCCGAAAAATTCATAATGTGGAAGAACAATGAATACTTCTCTTCCCACATTCATGCTCAAATGCAGGGGTATGCAGATTCTTGTATACCTTACTCATAAATCAAACTTTGCATAAGTTAGATTCAATTAATTTGAAATGCTTTTCTTTTCCTTCCTTTGCCTCCATTGATTTGTCATTTGATTTATTTCTTTTCATATTCTTTCAACATTTGCTCTACAAATATTTAATGTCTGATTTCCTCTTTTGGTCATATCTTTAGCCCAGAAAACAAATTGGGGTAACTTAAATACCTGCAGCTTGCCCAAAAGTATTTTAAAAACTGCATGCTTGCTGTACATGGGGCAGCAGTAATAGTGACTATGTGCAGGGTGTCTTAATACAGCCTCTGTATTATAGAAACGTTTGCATCAGGCCTCATAACTCCTTGTGAAAGGTGAGACACACATTTTGTACAGATCAAAGGAATGGTATTTTATGGCCAGTGGGCGTGTATCCAAAGAATTATAGGAGGGGAGCAGTGGGAGTTACATGCTATTGCTTCACGTTGCCTATATTAGTGGCTATGATTTTGCTATATATACAGTCTATCTAGTTTAGATTGAAAATTCCATTCCATGGGACTATGAGATTTTTCACATGGAGCAAAGCTCTTTAATGCATATGTTGCTCTATTTCTAAAAATTTAGCATTTATTGCTTCATTAATTCATTCTGTTTAGGTTTGCCAAAATAACTCTTACATAGCTTGCAAGATTTGTATGCATAAAGTGCTCCATACCTTATCAAATCGTATCTCAAATGTATTTGAGTTACCAGATCTTCTCTAAAATTATTCTCAGCATGTTTATACATTTATACATATTGCAGATAGATAAAGCAATTCCAAGAAGATAAGATTCAGTGAAGTAATTAAGACACCTTAAGCTGTATTGTTGTTAAAGAATATGAGTAGCATCTGACTTTGCAAATAAAAAAAGATTACTTATATTCATCAGGTCCGAGGTCTTTATACAGTAGTTTTTAACTATTACCTTAAGAATTTTTAAGAAGGCGATTTTGTCAAGGCATGAATATAAAATATTTTTTTGCTGTAGGGCTCTTTAAATATTAAAATTATTTCTTTATTAAAGACAATACCATCAAATTATCCAGATGAAACTCAGTAATTTAGGGGTGAGCCCCTCTGACATTTAAATAAAAGCAAATAATGCTATGTTTTTTTTCATACCGTCTTCAACATAAGATTTATACGAAATGAAAAATAGGACTGGTAATAGAACATTACTTTCTAAGATTATTAACCATATGAATCTGGAAATTCATCTTTATTATTATTATTACAGTTATTGCAATTCAACCCCCTTGTCCATAAGCAATATTTTATAGTAATGTATATTTTGTTATGTAATATATATTTGTGTATATATAGTCTGTGTATGCAATGCAGATGATTTGTGGTTGCTATGACAACTACTATTTTGAGTTTCTTGACATATTTGTATTGAAAAATCTCAACATTGTATTAATGTCACTTTTGCATTGAATTTTCTTGGTTTTGAAAAATAAGAATAGAGGAATCACTTTGATCATCATCATACAAATATCTAATGCTAGAGACTACATAGATTTATTTTAATTTATAACCATTGAAATAAATGCAGGCACAGTTCCTATAATGTACATATATCAAACATTACTCACCCATGTTCATTTAGATAATCATGCTTTGCTACATCGTTAAAAAATAGTGAGAATGTCATATAGTGTTGGATGATTATTAGTGGACTCTCAACCTTTTCAGAGCTTAAGTTGACAGGTTAAATTTCTTGCAGTAGTTTCAGTCACACTTGACTATAATTTGAAAGTGAAATTGGTTGGTTTTTATTGAGTGAATAGCTGAGCCTGAGCCTGCCCTAATGAATTTAGTAAGAATTTTTGCCATTGGCTTCAATGGAAAAAAATCATGTGCTAATGCCTTTCGTTGAGTTAAGTGAGGTGAGGTTATTCTGGTTTTACACTTGTGTAACTTAGAACCTATTGTTTTCCTTAGTATGTACAAAAATATCATGTACTTGTTATTACATGAATCTAACTATACATTTCTCTTTTCAAACTCTGGACAGAATTGTGTTTGAAGAATTTGAACAGTTTATCATCTCTTGATTTAATCAAGATGGATGAAGAATTTAATTTCAAACCAACAGGTAACATTTACTTCATAATCTAAGTTAGATGATAGTATTGAAAACATATTTAAAATATTTTTATATTATAAGATTTAAAATTATTCTTAATATGGGCCTATCAGAAGACACAGGGGCACAGTGATTGGGAAGTGAAGAAAGAAAGGAACCATGTAGGGGAAAGTTTGTCAAGTACACCTGTATATCTCTGGTGGAGTTCAGAATTTAGCCAATGTGGGCAGAATTTGGCCAATACTGAACGTACTTGGTATTTTATTATCTGAGCTGAATTTACTTTAGCAAATAAATAACTGGAAATTTTGCTGCAGATCAAAAGATGGCCTGGTGACAATGATCTATGTATAATAGCATAAAGAAAAGAAAAATGCCATTCTGTGGCTTAGAAGAAACAAGTGCACTCCACCTCTCTTAAAATACACTAAATATTTTTAATCTTCATTTACAGAGACTGGAAAACTAATGGCTTGGTATTATATTGCATTTGATACAGTGAAACAGTTTTCCACAATTAATGGAACAGAATCTTTATCTGAACTGGTAATTTAATTTTCGTAAGAATATATCTACTATATATTTCAGAGACTTTGTGTGTGTTTCTGTCTGTCCATCTGTGCGTCTGTTTGTTCAAGAATTCCTCCTACATGGTAAGAGTGAGGACCACCAAATGCAGTATGCAGCTTATTCTTATCATAACTTAAAGTAAATCTGGATTTGCCGGGATAATGAGATGTGTATCGAATGTGATTGTTTCGCATCAGATGGAAAGGAAGGGAGTAGCAGGGATAGTTATACTCCTGAATGTGCAAAGGAGGGCAGCAAGCGCCCTAGCCCCAGGGAACAGCTGCTAACCCAGAATGGGCAAAATCAGGCTTGGGGGCTTGATCCAGCTGGCCAAGCATTTCTCCTCAGCCCACCCAGCTAATTAGCATAGTGTGCATGCTTACAGCTAGCAGCATGTGTTTAGCTGCCTCTACCATCCACCTTGCTGCATCCTGTAGGATTCTCCTGCTAGCTGTGCAGAGTCTGTGCAGAGTGGGGAAGGTGTATGGAGAGGAAAGGAGTGTGCTGAAGTCAGTGTGTTTCCCTGCCACTGTACCCCATCTCTGCAGTGCAGGGGTGAGGGAGAGGGAGACACACAGTGGAGCTGCTCCAGTCTGAAGCATAGGTGGTAAGTGACTCAGGGGATTGCCTTTTTTTAAGAAACAGTGCACTGATTCTAAGTGCTCATACTCTCGCTCTCTCTCTCTCTCTCTCTCACACACACACACACACACACACACACACACACACACACACACACACACACACACATATATATCACGGAGACAACAGTTTTCCCTGTCTTCAAGAGAATAGCACATGGCTTGTCTCAGAAACTTACCCATCGCAGCAAGCGCACACACTCTGTGTCATTGTCTGTCAACACAACACACACACACATTTTAACATTTAATACAGAATTGGAGACAATTTATAATTTTTCTGTTTACATCAAAGAATTACAAAGTTCACAGTGTATAAAATGTTGCAAATTCAATTGCAATGTGATTTTTTTAAGTGTTTTGTTCTCTGAGATCTGCTGGTTCTTTCATCTTTTACTCTCCTCAGTTACCTAGCTTGAGTCATCTTACCCTTCCGAATTAAGGAATTCTGAAGCAATTCTGGTTAGACAGTAGAGTCTTTATTTTTCCAACCTTCGCTTATCCGACATTCTGTTTTATCTGACGTGCCACACAAATTGCGAATAAGAATGTAGCATGTACAACAGCCAATCACAATCAGCGCTGCGCATCCACACCATGCACATGAGTTCAGTCATGCTTTTGTTTGATGATGTCAGTACTTTGGTTTGAAATTTCTTTATCAGCATGGCAAGTGAAAAGAGAAAGAAAGTAGTTGTTTTGATGGAACAAAAACTTGAAGCCTTACAAAGACTAGATAAAGGCGAAACTGTGCAAAAAGTGGCGACAGAATATGGTGTGGGGCGTGTTACTGTTGGTGATTGGAAGAGAAAAAGAAATTAAATTGAAAAATGGTGCTCTGATAAGGCTTGAAATGAAGGTCTGAAAAAAAGAAAAACGATGAAAAAATACGAATACGAAAAGGTGAGTGAAGCTTTATTTTTGTGGTTTACACAGCAAAGACAAAACAGCATGCCAGTAACTGGATATATTCTACAAGAAAAAGCACTGGCATTTCACAACGCATTTAATGAAGGAGAAGACGACTTCACAGCTAGTACAGGCTGGCTAGATCGTTGGAAAAAATGTTATGGAGTGAAGCAGCTCAACATCTACGGAGAAAAATTATCAGCAGTCTCAGAATCAATTATTAAATTTAGAGAACATTTTCTGTCTCTCGTAAATAATAAAGGGTTATTGCATGAACAGATATAGATTTGTGACAAAACAGGTCTAAATTTTAAAATGCTTCCATCAAAAACTTGGCTTCCCGTGCAGAAACTTCAGCTCCTGGCTATAAAAGAAGCAAAGAAAGAGTGACCATTCTTGTCTGCAGTAACGCCTCAGATAACCATAAACTCAAACTTGCTTTAATAGGAAAATCCAAAAATCCACGTGCTTTCAAAAACATAGGTCCTATAGCACTGTCAGTTTGGTATAGCAACTAAAAGAGTGCATGGATGAGCTCTGAAATTTTTAGAAACTAGCTTTATAATGAATTTGTTCCTTTAGTAGAAAGATTATTGAATTCAAAAAACCTAGAAAGGAAAGCTATTTTGGTTATTGATAATGCACCATCTCATCCTAACACAAATGAACTGAAGGATGGGGAAGTAAGTGTGATTTTTTTTTACCACCAAATGTCACCTCATTGTACCAACCTATGGACCAGGCTGTTATTGAAGCTTTCAAAAAAAATCAACATCAGCTTCTTAAATCACGTATAGATGTTATTGATGATGGAAATAGCATGCTAGATACATTGAAAAAAATAAACTAAAGGATTTTGTTTATTGGATTTCACAAGCTTGGGAAGAAATTGAAAAAAAAAATCACTGGCAAGATCATGGAAAAAGTTACTTATGGATGACAAAAACAATAAATTAAGATGAATATAATGAAGAAACAAGTCAAGGAAGTTGAGAAAATCTTTTAATCTTATTGAAACAGATACCAGGCTGTGAAGATGTATGCAATGACAATGTACAGGAATGGATGGAAAAAGATGAGCAACAAGAGCTGACTGATAAAAATTTAATTGACCTTGGGAATCGTGGTGATGATGATGATATAAAAGACGATATTATCGAACTAGAGAAAGTGGATAGATTGAGTCACAGTGAAGGAGTGAAGGCTTTCAACGCAGCACTAATTTACATTGAGCAACTGAAGGAAGCCACCGTTACAGTCTTACTGCTGATCAGATGCTGGTGTGATCTTGCCGGGAAGAAAAGCAAGGACGCCCAAAAAAAAACAACTCCCGCTCACTCATTTCTTTAAAAACTAAACTTTTTATATTGAGAAAAGTGTTGTAAATTTTATTTTTGAATGTTGAAATATTCTATTCTTTCATTAGCATTAGTAATAAATTGAGTTTATACATATTTGTACCCACTTTTTTATTAGTATTCCATATTATCCGACCTCTCTGCTATCCGACCATCCTCTGGTCCTGTTTAGGTTGAATAATCAAGACTCTACTGTATATAAAATACTATATTGTCTCGTGCTTTATCTGCCATTATATTTTACTACTACTGACAATTGCATGTGTAGAGCTCCCTCTCCACTTGGTTACCTTCTTTAAGGCCAATCTGCTTACAGGTTTTGATGGATAGGTCTGGGTTCTTCTGGCTCCCGCTGCCCACTCAACTTTATTTTTTCCAATGGATTTATTTGGAGGTGCCTCCACCCCCCTCGCTCCTTCCTGGCAGGGTCACCAGGGCAGCTTAGGAGGAAAATTCTAACCCAGGGCAATCCCCACGTATTTGCAAGATAGTTGGAAACTCCCAGAAAATAACACAAACACATACACTATAATAAATACAATGTCTGCGTCTAGACTGGCATGATTTTGTGGAAATACTTTTAACGGAAAAGTTTTTCTGTTAAAAGTATTTCTGCAAAAGACCGTCTAGATTGGCACAGATGCTTTTGCGCAAAAAGTGCTTTTGCGCAAAAACATCCGTGCCCAGTATAGACACGCTTTTGCGCAAGAAAGCCCCGGTGGCCATTTTATCCATCGGGCTTTCTTGCGCAAAAAAATTAAGGTGCCTGTCTACACTGGCCCTCTTGCACAAGAATACTTGTGCAAGAGGGCTTATCCCTGAGCGGGAGCGTCAAAGTATTTGTGCAAGAAGCACTGAATTCTTACATTAGAATGTCAGTGCTCTTGTGCAAATTCAAGCAATCAGTGTAGACAGCTGGCAAGTTTTTGCGTAAAAGCGACCTCATCTAGACGCACCCAATTATATTAAACAGGAGACAAATATAACATAATAAGGTAAAACACTATCTTTAGGTTCACTGATGCCCAGCAACTGTAAGGTAAGTGTCCCGTTGGTACGCATACTTTGTTGGGGCCCTTGATGACTTTTGACCACAAAATTCTTCTCTGCAGTGGGGCCTACTGGGTTCAGTACAGCCCAAAGGACTCACAAGTAGGAAAAGGCAGTAAATTGCTCCACAGGTTTAATATGCAGCAGGTTATAAAATCCCCAAACAAATTCCCTGACTTACTAACTAAAAGATGGTGCACTCACACACTCCATGAATGAGCCTCAGGTTCAGCGATGACTCAGTCACTGCAGAGGGGCTGGTCTCTTCTGGCAGGGATCCTCCTCAGGCAGGAATCAGGCTGCTTCGATCCCAGAATTTCCCCTCGCCACAAAGGTGTGGAAGGGTCAAGGTGCAGGCCACACAAATGCACCAAAATTCAAACTATAACCTCCTACCCCAGCGTTCAGACACACATACAGCAGGCAGCAGCCCTGAATTAGCAGACAGAGCAAAGCTGACCATACGGTGACTGGTCTCACCCAGGGAGCTGGTGAGCCAACTCAGCTTGGCTCGGGAAGCCTCCCAGCAAACTCCACAAACTGGGAACCGACAGTGGAGACATAAAACCCAGTGGAGGGATCCATTCTTCAGATCCCTACAGGCTAGTTCTCAGGGTGAAACCCTGTATGCAGGCCTGGGGCTTACTAGCTCCCCCACAGCCAGCCTTCCCCTTGCCCTGACTGCTCCAGACCAACCCCGCAGCACCCCAGCTGCTCTGCCCCAGGCGTCCCTGATTCAGCCGCTGCTGGTCAGTTTCAGCAGCAGCTGAATCGGGGATGCCTGCAATAGAGCAGCTGGGGTGCTGCCGGGTTGGTCCCGTAGCACCGTCCCTCGGCGCTGCGGGACCAACCCGGCAGCACCCCAGCTGCTCTGCCCCAGGCGTCCCTGATTCAGCCGCTGCTGGTCAGTTTCAGCAGCAGCTGAATCGGGGATGCCTGCAATAGAGCAGCTGGGGTGCTGCCGGGTTGGTCCCGTAGCACCGTCCCTCGGCGCTGCGGGACCAACCCGGCAGCACCCCAGCTGCTCTATTGCACGCATCCCCGATTCAGCTGCTGCTGAAACTGACCAGCAGCGGCTGAATCAGGGACGCCTGGGGCAGAGCCGGACTATCATAAGGGGGGGCTATGAGGGGTCTGGGGTGGCATCCCCTCCCACCCCACTCCAGACCCCTCATAGCCCCCCCCTTCTGATAGTCCGGCATATTTGATAATCCGGCAGCCCCTGGGTCCTAAAGGTGCCAGATTATTGGAAGTTTACTGTACTTAAGCGCAAGATTTCCTGCCTTTTTGTTCCAAGAATCAGTCCAAGGAGACATCAAGTGGTTCTCCTATGAATATTCATATATTCCGATATATCCCCCAGTCTGATGTAGGCACCCACAGAAATCTTAGGGTGCCAGGTCAAACTTTGGTTTGGAGGTTGGACTTCCTAGATATTCTGGCATCAAAAAAGAGATACAGGCCTAGAAATTAAGGAAGCTCTTACGGCTGCTGCTGCTAAGCCCACCTCAGAATGGCCACTGTTTTTTCTTGAGGTCAGAAAAAAGCTCTGTTCTCTTTTCAATCTTTATATCTCTGTCTTGCTTCATTTATTCTGTCTAAGTCTTGCTTCTGAGTATTTCACACTCCACCTGCACCAAGATTGCTTAGGTGGAGGGAGATTGGTCCTTCCACGCTTGGCCTTGGGGAAGAAGATTTTGTGAGTATGAAATTCTATTAGGTAATTAAAATCTGTGTACTTAGATAAGTCCAGTTTTATAACATAGACTTTGTATATGTTATCCACAGAGGAGATTCAGTTAATCTGTATACTCAGTGCTATATTCTTTGTAGTGTTTGCCACAGTAATCCCTGTAATACTAAAGCTTATTTTAATTGCATATCCTGATTGTAAATGTGTAAGTGTGTACTCTAGACCCACAGTCCCTTTTGAGGTGGAACTGTATTCTTCCACCAGCTTGTAACCTAGGATAAGGAGGACAAACTTAGTATCTCTTATTAGATTGGCGAGTTTTACCCACCTAAATTTCACTTTAAAACCTTCCCAGGCTACCATAGTTTGTGCTCCTCCACGAGGTCTACTACCAGAACTAATGGAGACAATTTCAAAAGTGGTGCGGTCGACGTCAGCTGCAACGAAATACTGTTCCGATACTCACCGTACTTGAATACCTGATGGTGCTTAGCAATACAGGCCTCTTTATCAGATTCATTCACATCTACCTGTCCACCATCACTGTTTTCCACGAGCCGGTGGATCACTTCTCACTCTTTGCACATCCCATTACAAAGAAGTGTATATGGTGAATGAACCATTAGGACTGCAATTTCACTCACCATTCTGGCAGAGATTAAAGCTACTATGAAGGCCACTTTCATAGCTAGATGTTGTGGAGAGACCGTATCTAGTAGTTTGAAAGGTGGTCTTGTGAGTGTGCCGAGCACTAGGTTTAAATCCCAAGGTGACACCAGTGGACTTAAATGTGGACATGTCTTTTACAAGTCTGTAAAAACATCTTTAGACCTCACCCAAAACCCTACTCCTCCCCGAGGGAACTGATGTTACATACTCTGGAAGCTAGACGGGCCCTTGCATTCTACACGGACGGAACCAAGAAATTTAGGAAATCAGACTGACTTTTTATTTCTATGTCCGGTCTCCGCAAGGGAACAGCTGTCTCTGCGCAGCTTATTTCCAAGTGGATAGCCAATTGCATATATACTTCCTATCGTCTTCAGAGAAGGGAACCACTTCAGACTATCATCACGCATTCCACTCATGCCATCGCCATATCAACTGCTTTCCTGCATAACTAACCTTTTCCTAATATCTATAGAGCACCAATGTGGTCTTTATATCACACTTTTGCACACACACTACGCTCTGCAGCAGGGACCCATACCTACCACCATGTTAGCCATTTCAGTCCTTGCCTCTTCTCATAGTTGATTCAAAGACCCACCACCATGAGCAACAGGTAGTGCTAGCTAGTCACCTAAGTGGAGCACCAACAGGGACACCACTTGAAGGAGAAGAAGTTACTCACTCTGTGCAGTAATGATGGTTCTTCGAGATGTGTGTCCCTGTGGGTGCTCTACTTGGAGTCTGTTAGAGGATTTATCATAGAAAAGGAACAGAGGGGGACCCACATGTGCAGCTAATGGATGAAAACAGCGCGAGATGGCTACTGCACATGCGTGATGTGGGAAGGCACTGCTAGGTAAAAACCTCCAGTCACTGGTGTGGGCATGCACCAAGACCTGAGTGAAGCACTCACAAGGGGACACATCTCTAAGAACCATCATTACTACACAGGGTGCGTAACTTCCTCATCTTCTTGATCATCCTTTCATTTTGTAATCAGGGTTTGAATCATTGCTTCCATTACAGACATCTGGAATGGGAAAGGAATCCTGGGTGTGATCAGGTAAATGCACTTCATTTAGGTTGCTCAGGCTTGCTAGATGTTCAACTGTTAGAAGGTGCTTTGCCAATTGTAATCAATTGGTCTGTTACGCTGGTCGCAAACTGTGTTAAAACTAAATGCAGAAATTGTAAGATATGACCACCAATGCTTGCAGTTATTGTAGGAATGCACAATACAGAAAGTTAGACTGTGTTTAATTCAGTTAAAAGAAGAGACCCTGTCAGTGTAAATACACTTGGATGGACAGAGGCTGGTCTTTGAGAGACCTATATATTGAGCTGGGAAGGGACATGAATCAGCAGGCTGTATGCCCTCCAGGCGTCAGCTGTAAGACTGGTTCAACCTGTTTCTCCCCACTGTTTCAATGATAGAGTTAAAGAAAGGCTCCAAAAGGAGTCCCTTTTGTATGTAAATTTACTCCAGTGAATGCTGGAACCTCTTGTTGGCTGGACTGTGCTTTGGACCAAGAGCTGAAATCACTGAGAGCTGAGATCACTGAGAGCTGAAATTACCAGGTTTGGTCAAGAGTCAAATCCACTATAGTACAAGCCAGCGGAAGATATGATAAGCAGCCATCAGGGTGGTTATGGAGAGGCATTAGGAGTCGCATCAGCGAGGGGCAACGAATGGCCAGCAGGGCACCACTAGAGAGCAGCGAGCAGGTGGATGGCGAGTGACCAGAGGAGTGGGTGAGATGACTCCTACTCCCCCCGCCCCAACTCAGGATGGAAGGAGAATTCTGCAGATCACCTCTGAGCTCTGGTCTGCTTTGACCAAGGGTAGTGACTGAATGGGGTGCAGAGAAGGGTTAGGCATGTGAATGGGACACTTACATGGCTGGACTTGAGAGCTTGAAAGGAAAAGGACATTGCACAACCTACTCAAGCTGGGACATTTACTCATGGCTGTGATTTGAACTGTGTTTGTGGTGTTTTCCTGTGAACTCTGTTCATGATGTTTTTCAAAATTAATGCCAAGTTACTTCTTTCCCCTTTTATTAAAAGTTTCTCTTCTACACTCAAACTCTCTGTTTGCACGTGGGGAAGCATTGCCTCCCAGAGGCGCCCGTGAGTGTTGTGTGAATTTCTTAGGTTACTGGGTGGGGGCTCGAGCCAGTTCTGTGTTTGAAGGATGGAGAGGAACCTCTAGATATTGAACCTGGCCTTGGCTGCTGGTGGTGCTACCTGGCAGAAGGGCTACAATTGTAATAGTGTTAAAGAAATTTGAAGTGCTAATAGTATTGTTTGACAAAGGAAATGGAAGGAACAAATGGAAATAAATCAGAGAAACCACAAATAAGGAAATGAATTAATAACACAATGTTAAATTGTTACAGATCACAATGATATCCAGCTGCGTTGAATTTTCAGATGTCAAGTTAAGAACGAGTGAGAAGAAAATATTAAACACTTTGAATAAAGACAAGAACAGGATAACTATTAGGTAAAACAGAATTGATATATTACTGTTCAGAAAGAAAATATAATTTTAGTTAAAATGAATAGCAAAAAATAATGTGTTTTATTGTACAGGTTTCCAATGGAAGGGAAGATAAAAACAAGAGACATGAAAGTAAACTGGTAAATATTTTGTGTCACATCTCATTGGCTTGAAAATAAAAGCCCTGATCTGAACTCCTAGGGTGCATCTAAACAGCAGCGTTATTTCAGAATAATGTCTGTTATTCCAAAATAATTATGTGAGCATCTACACAGCTAGCCCGTTATTTCAAAATAATTTCAAAATAATGGGTGGCTTATTTTGATGTTTGTAAAACTCATTCCACAAGGAATAATGCCTCCTCCAAAATAGCTATTTCGGAATAGCAGTAGTGTGGATGCTCCACTGCTGCTATTTTGAAATAGCTCCTCCCCCAGACCATTCAAACTAATGACTCCTCCGTACTTCCTGGAGCTCTAAATCGAGGTAGCTTATCCACATTAGGGGCACTTGCCTCAGACTAATTTACAGGCTTCCTTGTAGTGTAGATGCGCTATTTCAAAATATGTTATTTTGGAGTATTTCTTCCGGAATAGCTTACTCTGAAATAATCGTGCAAATGAAGCCCAATTGACTTCATTGTATGCAGGTTCATGCCAATAGATGCCAAACAATGGTGCTTTTATCTTGAAATTGCCTTTTTTTTCCCCCCCAATGGGGACTTTGACTCATGTTTTACTATACTTTTGTTGTTACTGTTGTTTCTGTGCTAAGATATATTTCTTTTTCAGTCTTATTCAGGCTCAATTAGGATGCATTCCTATTCAGGACTTCACTTTGACACAAGATATAGGCAAAATTTTCAGAAATGGCTTAAGAGTTACTAAATGTATGTTACAATTTAAAACATTTTGATATATTTACTAATAAAAACTGTATTATTAAATTACTAATTTTTTTTTCTTTTGTAGGGTTGTCTGAGTTTCTGACATCATGTAAAAACAATTTTTCTGCATTATTAAACTCTTTGATTTTAGCTAAGTGTTTTAGGTGCAAACTGTGGGAAAATTCTCTGCATGTATCCAAACAGCTAGAAAAAATTGGTAGGTATCAAAAAGAAGCAATATTTATATAATAGTGTGTGAAAGTTCACCACTAACTTCACTATAAACTGGAAGACCCATTTTCTGAACTATATAAGTCTTCCATCTTTTCATTTGCCAGAATCATGGTGGGAAAGATTGTTGCAAAGATGATTAGTTGACTGACCAGTAGAAATTCTTTCAGAATTAATAAATTCTTAACTGGATTAGTAACTAGAATGAAAACTTAGATCTTGGAATAAGAACAAAAATACACAATAGAAAACATTTAAGGAACTTTTTTCCCCCAGAGACCTTGTAGTATCAGATAAATGTTTATAAAGAAAATGTAACTGTCCGTTAAATTACTCTTCCTCAGTAATAGTCTTTTTACACTCAGGGCAACTTTCAATGATGACATAATTGTGACAAATGAAATTAGCTATTGATGTCTGTGACAGGCTTTAAAATAACTTATTTATTTCCCTAACAATAGTAGATTGCATATAAAATAAATAAAAGACTTATGCTGCTTTAATCTAATCTTGCTACCTGCGTCTCTGCAGCTGAGTCTTGATGCTGTATGGGAGAAGGGAACAGTGGTAGTACAGATCAACCAACCTAATTAATCTTCAGCACTTTTCTGTATTTGCAGTAAGGAGTGTTTAGACTTACCCTTGTCTTTAACAGTCTGTTCACTGTCCTTGAAATAGTCTGAAAAGACAATTGATCCACTACACTTTTTTGAGCTTCTTGTGATTTTTCACATTGCAACTGTATCGCTCTATGATTGAGTAGTGCTAAATAAATTCCATTTTCCCTTTCTTTCTACAGAGTCCAAATTATTCAAATCTGTTTTCTTGCAAGTGTCAAAATATCATATTGAATTTCATAAGTTTTAGCTAGATCTATGCATTCTGTAATCATGGTCCATTGCAATCTTTGGAAGTCCATGACATACAAATACGGACTTAGTGATCATAGTTGAAGCTGTGTTATCTTGCACTATCAATCTGGAAAGTGGCTAAAATAGTCCATTATGATCAGGTGGTCATACCTTCCGAGGGCAAACAAATCCATTCTGACTTTGTCTTCTAATTTTGTAAATTGTTCATGTGGTGTCATATTTTCTTCTCATTGTGTATCTGTATTTCAGGTTCCGCACTTGATCATTATTTCATCCATAACACTGTTTATATGTGAACAAAATATTACTTGTGCTCTTTTTTTAAATTAATCATTCCAAGGAAGTTTGTTGCGGGCTCTAATTCTCTTGTACAATAAGGTCCCTTTATAATGCACTGGGAGTGAAAGTAAATGTACATTGTGAAGGGGCCATCATGTAAATGAGAATTAGGTCCATATTCTTTCCAATATTTTTCATGTTTTTCTTCATTTTGTGAGTGCTCTCAAAATTGTTGGGTTCATTTTTATGTGGGGAATGTTTCTTTTTTCTGCTCTTTTTGTATTTGTGGCAAAAGGGCCTATAGTGGTTTTATTGTATTCACAGGAACTGGTAACTTCTCTTGTTCTTCTTTGAGAGATGTCCCTGAGGGTGCTCCACATTAGGTGTTGAGCGTCCCAGCACCTCTCGACGGATTTTTCCCTAGCGGTGCATCGGGAGCTGTGCATATGCGGTATGTGGTGTGCGCTGGCCTCCCCCAGTGCCATCATGCATGCGCTGTCCCCCCACCTTCAGTTCCTTTCTACCGTCCCCGGCTTCCGATGGAACTCTTCAGTGCTCTTGTTTCTCTTCAGCATAGTTATAGAAATTTACTATTCTAGTTAGTTTAGTTTTAGTTTTTATTCAGTTGTTTAGTATTGCTTTAGTGTGCTAGTGGTACTTTAAAAAAAAAAAAAACCTCAGATTGGACAGTGCGCGTTACATCATAGCTGTGGCATGGGATCTCCCGGTTTCAAACGCTGTGCACTCTGCAATGAGGCAATGCCAACCTCTCATGGACACGACAATTGTGTCAAGTGCCTTGGCAACTTGCACTCTCAGAAAGACTGCCCATACTGTGCTAAGCTTAAAGCACAGGCACGTAAAGATAGAGAGTTCAGGGTCAAAATGCTGAAGGCTGATAAGGGTGAACACCCTTCTTCTGACCCAGGCTCGGGTCAGATTACGATGGCAAAAGGGATAAATCCCCTGAAGCCGCAAATAGATGGGCAAGCTCACTGCCTCAGCACTCCCCTAAGAGGTACTGTGCTGGCAGGCAATCGGATCCCTCTGATAAGCATTTTTGACTGCCCAGATGTCTCAAGTGAACAGCGCAGTAAACGCCAAAGTGCTAAAACAGCTGCCCCTTCAGAGGCAACGGGCCACACCATGCCTGCCTCGAACAATGTGGCGCCAAGCAGGATGCTGCTTGCCTCAGCACCACCTCAAACAAAGTCTCAGGACCGCAGCACGGCACCGCAGCCACTCACTCCAATCTCCTATTTTGAATGACAACAGATATCCGCACTCCCCCTTTTCTAATTATACAGAATCACCTTCCTCCCCTCTCAATGGAAGAGGGATATGACTTGGCTGTGTTTTCATCACAGCTGTGTCCAAACTCAGAGGGAG